TCAACACCTCCAGTGCTGTACTTATGAACCATAATTATCTTTGCTTCTTTCATTTTGTGTTACAAAATGAGCATTGTCATCTTTTCCCCTTCTTGTCTTTTTAATTTATGTTTCCGTATTTGTAACAGCTGTGCACTTCACATTAACATTTGCACAAAGGCACTAAATTATGTGCCCATGTCTTGGTTAAACAGGCTAGCTAATAAAGAACTCTTTAGGCAGTACACATTTTACTTGGCCTTGTCTTATAAAAACAGCACGTTTTCACTTGTTTATTCAGAAAGGGGAGGGGGCTTTTACAATGTCTTTATAGGCACTTGTCTCTTTAAGAGCTCTAAGCTTTGTTAAGCATTAGTTAAGGTAATCGGCTTATGCTTTTTGTATGGATTTAAGATATGTTTGATAACCATTAATTAGTATGGAGTTTGAGAAACCTATGAATATAAATTGAGGCATTAATAGGTTATTTGCATGGGATTTATGTTTTCTGTTTTATTAGTAATTGAATGGATATACATACTGAAAGAAAAAGGAATTGTCTGCATGTTGAATACAATGAATGCTCAACCCAAAATTTTGGTTGGTTTGGTCAGGGAGAAATCTTCCTGTCATTGAGTATTAACCTCTCAGAGTCTGGGAAAGTTAAAATTGAATACTTTGCCAGTATGGAAAAGGGATGTGGAAACAGAGCATATCTGTTAGTATTTGGAAGAAAGATAAGTAGCTCGACCTAGACCTAAAGCTGTGTATTATAAATATTGATTTATAATTGATTATTCAGTACCCAATGTTTTGGTCACAATGGCCTTTTTCAGTGTTTCGCCATAGGTTGCTTTGCCAAAACGTTATCTTTTTAGTAATAAAGCAGATGACGAGCTCTGCAAAGCACAGTGTGTAGGGGTTCAGTCCTTATTTCTGTGGCAGTGTCCTCCTCTGTACCTGCTGCAAGTTTGATTATGAGAGCTCAAATTTCACTTTCCTTACATGAAACCTATTTACCGATACACACTGAACCACAGCTTGATCTGTAGTTTAGTGTTCCCCTACGCTCCAGATCAGCATCAGTGCTCTCAGTACATTGTGTTAATGGTCCAGGGGTGCATAAATAAACCTTATCTCCTATTTTAATTTTTTCAGTCCTGTTTCATACAGAAAACGTATCATTTTTGTCATTCCTAAATAATTAATGTAATTGTTACAGGTAATTCTTCTCAATGTTACCTATTAGGCTTTCACTTCCTGTTCAGTACATCAAACATCAAAACATCAGAATGCACAGTATAGGTTTTCTGCAATATTAAGTAATCACCTAGAGAAAATATTGTCTCCAGTGCAATTTTATTGCAAAATTGTGCTTCTGCTAGGACATGAAAGATAAGGAACACAGATGATTCTGTTTCCTGTGCTGGACAATAATAAATCCTTCATATTCCTGCTTCTCTTTAACTCTAGCAAGGCAAACAACAAATACTGACCTACGGAACTTTCTTTTTTCCTGATAAAAAGGCAACATGTTGAGTTCGTGAGACAGGTGCCCATTGCTTGATATTGAGCTGAGACAAAGGAAATTTTTTGTTGCTTAGTTGATATCACAAAATTGTAAAATTACCTTTTTTCATTTTGTACGTAGGTTTGTATGTATGAAGCTACAGTGGCGAGCTGTGTCAATGTGTGAGCTTCGGAGAACGAAGTCGAGTTTAGGTGTAAAAAGAAAAAAAAACACATTCTCCACAACCTCATCAAGTGCCCTCTGCTCACGACTGGGCATTCAAGATGTACTCCACGACTGGCTGTGTGTGTCACGATTGTAGTCCCTCCCCCTTAAAAGGGGCTCCGCCTCTTTCGCTTCTGAGTTGATTTTGTGCATCTGTTCCAGCCTCCTATTCAGCCGGGTTCTGCATTGGTTCCTGTACCAGGCGAGTCCGTATCCTGTAGCCTCTGACCCCGCTCTGTTTTTTTTTTTATCTCGTTTGTCTTTGTCTCGGATGGACCGCCCGGTTCTGGGCATTTGCCTCGTCTTGGATTTCCCTTTGGACTGCTTGCCTTGGATTCACCCCCCAGAACACCTGCGCACCATGGCCACGCCCCCTGTTTTCATTCCCGACTCCTGCATGCTTTTCCCCACGTGTTTTCCTCACTTTTCCCCGAATGCATAGGGTCCTGAAAGAACGCTTTCGTTACAGTGTGGTTTTTTATTAAATATAACACTTGGTAAAACATGTTATATTTCATTCACTGGCCACATTTTTGAGAAGTGCAAGTCAGACAAGTAAATGACAAATCATGCTTGAGGCACAGAAACCGAAACTGCCCCAGATCGCAGTCCTATCAAAACCCCCAACATACCATTATCCACCTCACAATTTCAAATAAAGGCAATCTTTCTAGAAGAACGAGATGGAAATGCTTAAGAACCCGGAGGAACAGATGAGGACATGTCCTGTTGTGGCTAATCTCTTAGGACACGCACATTTTCGACACAGAAACCAACAACAACAACAACAACAACAAAAAACCCCATCAAGCTTTGGTTTCTACTACTGGTAAGTCTGAGTACCAAAATGGCTTTTGTGAAAATTGAATTAATTCACTGTGTAGAAATTCACATTACACACCTTCTTGGCTGTTTTCATCTTGCCTAACAGAGGTTTGTGACAGAAGGTCACCACTTCGCTCCAGAGAAAACTGTCCAGAATTAATTTCAGAATTTGAACAGAAGGTGGCTGTACAATGCCCAGGAGCCTAGGCCTTGCAGTTTCCTCAAAGAACTCATTTTCTGAAACAAAGCGACAGTAGGAAGTCTACAAATTCACTCAATCTGAATGAAGCAAAGGTGTGTCTTACATTTTACCATGGTAAATGGTACTGCTAAATAACTTTTCACGAAATGAAATGCTGAAATTAAGTCCTTGTAGTTCATTGTTTCCTTTCCAATACATGTTAAATGATTATCCTTCAAAAATTAAGGTAATTTATTAACTTTAATCATTAGAACACACTGATCCTAAATTCTGAATATTGTAAAAAGTATGGCCATCGTACAAAAATGGCAATGATAGTTTTATCAAGATGGAAATGGATTTCCCTACAGTACTGTATGTTAACATTTTGTAAACACTTTAGTTGGTGATATTAAGGTTTCATGGTTTCAATATTTTCCAGATTTAGTAAATATTATGTTTCATGCACAGTAGTTAATAGTTATTACACAATGTGTAATTCTTCAAATTCAGGAAGGACATTAAGCAGTTGATTTATTACAAAGTAGAGTGTACATTGAATTTTTAGAATGTGTTTTGCTGTTAACAATTAGCAGGAAGATTGTAGAGGAAGTCTCTACTGGGTGTGACAGAGCTTTCCATCTTTAGGAGAAATCTTAACTATCTAAAAATTCTAGATCCTCAGAACTATATATTTCTCTTAATGCATTAGAAATCTTCCAGAAGAGACTTCTACCTATTTATAGAACAGTCCAAAGAGGTATTGTTTTGAATTTGGTGTACACACTCAGAGCTCTCCCTCACACACACACGTGTCTGTGCAGAAACATATTTAACATGGCTACAATGTATCGTTAAAGCCCTACACACACAATCTGCTGCCCTGTGATGTACATAGATGAGTGCCTGTCAGTTTTGTTAAGACAGCTTTGGCCTGCTGGGGATCAAAGAGCCTTTGTCTCCATGGAGATGGAGTGCTACTGTTTGAACGTGCTGTGTTGATTTTCAGGCATACTGCTACAGCTTGTTAGTTAAAGGCATGTAAGAATTATTAACCAAGACGAACTTGAAATGGCTAAATGACCAGTATCTACAAACTGAGCAGTGTCATGATTAATGAACAACCACTGAAATATGCTCAACCATACAGTTTATATACTGTCTTAGTATATATTACAATCTGTAGTTCTTTAGGAAGGTTATGGTTTCCCAAAACTGCAGCACCACACAGCTTTCCACTTCATATTTCTTTTGGAGTTTTGCCTTTTCCACTTAATTACAACAAGTCTTTCTGAACACATATTATTTTAGTTTCAGGACAGCCAACACGAGCAGCTGGATAATGAAATAAGACACAGATACAGCGACTACCTATATTAGTTGTGCCAGTGCTGTGATTACTGTTCAGTACAATATTTTGTAGCAAAAGGCAAAAATTTTTATGATACAAAACTGTGGAAACTTTCAAAAATGTAACACCTATAAGAAAGACGTTAATATGGAATACCTTCTTAAAATTACTAAACAGCTTTCAGACTAAATTGAGTACAGGTGTAGGGTGATGGACTCAGTCCATGCAAATCCTCTTGACTGGTGATGAGACTTTATATGAAAGAAAATAATTCCAAGAAGCTAACCACTTTACTTTTTGCCATTTCAATATGTTGGACACCACCCCTGCACTCCTCCAGTGTAGGGACTTCCAACAGCCAGAACTCTTGAGCACAGGTGTAGCAGTCATTCGTGTGGAGTAGTGGTTAGGACTCTGGAATAGTGATTGGAAGATTGTAGTCTCAAATCTTGGTCAGAGCACTACTGTTGTACCCTTGAACGAAATACTTCACCCTGATTGAGAAATGTGGCATTCTGGGTCAGGAAAGACTGATATTATAGCTGGTCGACCACAAAAAGCTGTTAAGGTGAAAATCAGAAGCAGAGCTTTGAGTCATTTATGGTCTTAGGTCCCATCCTTTGAGGTAACACTGCCAGCTGAACAACCCACTGAGCATGCCTGAGGAAAAAGCAGTTCATGGAGGTGGGAGTGGTATATCAGAGAAGGATCAAACCGTCACTCAACTGGTTTAATTAGATAATTGAGACTCTTACCTTTTTATGAGCTCAGTCTTGGTCTGCACAAACTGTATTTTCCTGATACACTCTTTCAGTGGATTTGTTAAAAGGTACAAGCTTCAACATTGCCCCAAATAAGAGGCATTTCAAGTGTATTTTTAAATAACCCACTCCCATAAGATTAACTTTCCTATAAATTCCTCCTTTTATTTCCTTCACCCTTCTTCTTCTTTTAATTACATACTATGCATTTAAACAAAATAAAGAAGGTGCTGGGAGACCCCTCCTGAATTTGGAACGTGACCAAAGGGACTTTGCGCTGCAGTCTGTAGCAGAAGGTTCTGGGTTCCTTCAAAGTCGTTCTGTCAAATTGCTTTGAATCTGCGGAAAGACCCAACTTCTACTTCTATACTGAAGTATAAAGACCACAAGCTCACTTCAGCCTTTCGAGTCATTTCTTCCTCCCCGCCTTGGAGACCCTCACGTCTTGGATCTGCATAAGGGATGCTCTGTAATGGAATATAATTAAGAGCACATGTAGCAATGCATGTCTTTTCAGCATTTATCCATTATAATAGCAATTAACTCTAGTGTAGCAAGAGGGACATCATCTTCTTTCTAGGTCTTAGATGTGTCAATTTACAGTCACTAGGGGAATCTGTGAATAGATTTAGGAGTATTTTTTAAATGAACATGTTGTCAGTCATAATATATATGAGAAGCACATTACAGCAGGTTTCGTTACCAGTTCTTGGATTCATTACTGTGCCGAAGAATTTACTGCATTTTAAATGAAATCTCATTTACAAGGTGAATTATATAAATGAATGGCAATTAAATTACAAGGGGGAAAAAAAACCTCTATACAGTAGATTTGCTCCTTCTTTTGCGCTCCCCTTTGAAATTCATAGTTTTCTGTCTTCAGCTGCACTTGGTTTGTATGTCTAAATATATATTATGTATATATTTTATATTTTTTTCCATAACTGGGGCAGTACTCTAATTCTCTTCACTTTTCATTAGTTTTTATTCAGATATTTCTATCTGAAATGAAACTCCAGTTACCAACCCTAAATATCATAAAATTCTGTATTCATTATCTGTTTTTATTTTGCCACATTAGGATCATTTTTCTACAAATTAAAGTTGCATACCAACAGGAAGTGTAACAGTTGCGACAAATGTTGACTTTTTGGTTTAACATCTGACCGAGACTCTGTCTTCTTTGAAGCTTTTAAATTATTTAATTTGGGTTTTGTATTGCAGTATGGCAACGAAACACGTTTTCCATTGGTAAAGGAAAAGGTTCTTTTTGAGGAACAGAAATACAGTTAAAAGCCAACAACTCAGGGTGAAAAATAGTCAAAAGAAAGTTTATTTTGTCTAAAGAAGCCTTTGGAGAACAGAAAATGCTTCTCTGAAAAACAGTTTTTGATGCGTATATATAAAGGTAGATGGCATCATACAGCTTACATTAAAAAGCACAAATCAGTTGTACAGTATAGCATAAATCTATACTCAATTTTAAATCTTGTCAGTTGCTAAACTACCACCCCAAGGTGACCTCAAAGTGACCTTTGATAGATGTAAGTTTCCTTGTGGTCAAAAAGCAGTAGGTCCTTTCCTCTTAAAACTCCACTTACAGACAACTAATAAGACGAACTGTCTGATGCCTAATCTTAATTTACAATATCATATGTGCATAGAAAAGATGAACTTCTTCAAAAACAATCTGTTTACTGCTGCTACTACTGTACATATACAATTTTAAAAAAGAAATCTAATATTAGAAATCTAATATTAGGCACGTTTTCCTAAAACTGTGTTTCAATAGTTCAGTCAAACCGGAGAAGAGCTGTGATTCAAGCAGTGAGCTATTGATGGGTAACTCACCTGTCTGAGAATATGGATGAGACTATTTTAACCCCCTACATCCCTTTTTAATGGAGATTGAGATGAGATGTTGCTCCAAAGATTAAGACAGGACAGATGGAGGGGTATGACAACGAAACAAAGATAGTCAAATCAACAAGAAATGTGATTTTTATACAAAGATAGGTTGAAATGGGTGAGATTAGAGTTTGACCTTCTTCTGAACTTTTCTTTCCAACTCCATTTGTTTGAAAACATGTAATCAAAATTGCATTTCAACACATTATAGATTTTGACTGGTGAGTAACTGAACATTTTTTCTCTCACAAGTTAAATGCTGCACACTTGCTGTACTGTATCTCAGATCATAAATTGTTCAGGAGTTAAGACTAAGTTAAAACAATCTATGCATCCATTCATTATTTAACACTGACGTAAATGGCAACCTGATTCTATGGATTTATAATTTAAAATGTACAGGATGTCTAATACAGCCCAGTGGAAGGTTTTGTAGTTCACGCTGCGTGTGTGTTTCTTCAGCAGTAAAACACTCCTCTTCTTCCTGTAGGCAAGTCCATTAGCCCCAATGTAATGAACAAAAGGTTAAGTTCTCTGCTACTGAAAATAATGACCCTGGAAAGCCTCAAGCAGTTCTATGCAAACCATTTAATCACATCAAAAAGGGAAGAGGACTCTGGGCCTCTCCGTCCTTTCAGGGCTGTTTGCTGTTGTCATTTTCCTAACAAGTCTCTCTCTCTCTCATTTTACCCCATTCTAACTCTACGGAGAAAAGCAAATATCACTGGGAGCAAAGCTCTCCTCTGAGGTTTCCTTGCTTTAGAAGTGTCACTGGCTGTTTCCAGGAACCTGTGCTGAGAAGCCAGGCAGCCTGCCTCCTGCTGACACAGAATAATAATGAGACTCTACCCCACAAGCCTTTGACACTGGTTTGGAAATGAGATAGGTTATTAGTACAGCTTTGATCCAAGAGATTTTCACCCCCTGAAAATAATCATAAATAAACATATACCAAAAACTGTACTATCACTATCTAGGGGAACTAACTGTGTTGAACATGCATTTGGAGAAAGCTTCCTTTATACAGGTAGATTACTGAGGATCATACACTCCTCGCTGTGAGTGGTATTTTAGACTTCTGTTACCATTGTTTATCTTCATTATATTTCTAATGCATTATCCATATTCACAGTTATCAGGTATTATTATTATTATTATTATTTGCATTTTGTAAGAATGAGGGTATGTGCACAGATAAGAAAATTAATTTCTTTTTATCTGAAATTGTAAATGATCTCAAACAAAAGAGCTGGTTATAATAACCAAACATCAGTCACTTATTAATTGGTCTGTATGCCGCAGTATCTGACCTCTTGACCTGCTGTTATTAAGGGTTAAAATAACCCTTGTTTCTCAGCTAGCATCACAAAGCCATTGTGCTCACCAGAAAAGGGAATGTACTGAAGTGAACATGCCTTTGGGCATTTACTTTATGGTGCAATGAGGGATATAATATTCTAGTATTCCTCTTGGTCACTTTAATTTGAAGAAAGATCAGTGACCTATTCTTCCTGACCTACATCTTCAAGTTTAATTATATTGTGTTATGTTTGCTGTATTCTCTTCTTTTCTGCTTGAAAGGATGACTACTTTGATGGCAGGGATATTGATTGTTTTTTAAGAGTAGATGCACTGGAGTGGAGTGTAAGAAATGGGATTTGTAGATAAACACTGTGATTCAAAGGCAGAGGACCGAACTGCTCTGTTAAAAAGCAAGAGCTTGCTCACAAGCCCCTCAGAAAACTGGGTTCAAATTTAGCTGTTCAAAGGTGAATGGACCCTGGAGGACTTAAAAAAAAAAAACAGCCAGAGAGACAGAGAGACAGCTCAGTGGGATGTCTGGGCAAACAACAGATATACAATGAAGACTCTAATTATTGATGTGCATGATCTCACCAGGGCTCAGTTACTGGGCAAGAAATCATCCCATTACTGCCATGCTGAAAGTAATTCAATGGAAAGGATTTCAAGGAGAATTAAAATTTATGTTTGATTTAAATCTTTGTTTTTAAGTTCTACTTATATTAATGTATCAGTAAGTGATTTTTTTAGAATTCTCAGTTTTGCCATTGTACATTCAAGCGGACATAAATTAGAACATCCTCTGTCGGAAAATGCCATAGCTTTAACATACCATTTTGAAAATAAAGAAAGCATTTGTAGACGGAAGAAAACTGCCCTGACAGTTTATGGGAATTTAATTTACTTATCAAACAGAAAGAGAAAATTATTTTCCCTCCTTGCCTGGGTCAAGACACAAATTAAACTGATTCAGAAACAATAACATACATATTACAAACTGATCCTCTTCATGCGCAGTAAATTGTATTGCTGTCAGACAGGTGTCTCATTTGAACGTTGTAATTTGCACGTTTGCCCTCAACATTATTATCAGCTTAACCTGTATATTGAAAGGAAGTTGGCACTGCCTGGATGCCAGCCTTTCCTGTCCAAGCTGGCTTAACATATTCATGAAACATAATTAGCTGTATGCTTCTTTTCTTTAAAGGGCAACACCCCATGCTTTGATACTGCAAACTAGGGCTACTCCAGCTTTGTGCTTTTAACACTGCCTTTCTTCACTGGTACATGAAAAGATTCTGAGATGCATAATTGTACATAATTCCAAATATCCAACAGAAGGGTTGTATTTATACATCCTTAGAGGGCTCTCCTGGATCATGTGCACAGTAGAGGAAAGGAGGATTAATTTAATTTGATTTTTTTATTTCACCCAGGCAGCTGTTAAAAATCTCTTAAATATACGTAAAAGAGCAACTCAGAACTGGCAGCTCACTGAAGCTCAGCAGGTGTGGGCCTGGTTAGTACCTGGATGGGAGACTCCCGGGCAAGATAAGGTTGCTGTTGAAAGAGGTGTTAGTGGGACCAGTAGAGGGCACTAATCCTGTGGTCTGTGTGGGTCCTCGTGCCCCACTATAGTGATGGAGACACTATACTGTAAAAAAGGTGTTGTCCATCAGATGAGACGTAAAACCGAGGTCCTCACTCACAGTGTCATTAAAAATCACAGGGTGTTTTTCAAAAAGAGTAGGAGTGTGACCCAGGTGTCCTAGCCAAATTTCTCTCTGCCCTTTTCCAATTATGGCCTCCTAATAATGCCAATCTATGAATTGGGTTACTCACTGTCCTCTAATAAAATCTATTTAAAGATATTATTATTATTGACACCCCTGGACAATCTATAGCTTACAGTTTTATCTGGGTATGCTGAAGTGAAATGGTGAAGTAATTTCAACTAAATCTTCAAGTAGTGGCAATGGTTTATTTAAGGTGTATTGGAAGGGTATGTTTTAGTTTTTTTTAATAGAAAAAATAAATCTTGAATATGCATTTTAGCAGTGTTAGTAATGATAATTAATAACGGCAGCCAGAGTGTGCCAGTGTGATTCCCACACATCAGCTATCGGTGTGGAGGAGAGCAGAGTAATGAACCCTGCTGAATGATTGGGATTATTAGGATGCCACAATTGTTAAAGGCCAGGATTTTTATTGACCATGGAGAGTCAGAACCTCGGTTTTACATCTTATCTGAAGGATG